TACATACTGTGCGGTTCCATTTACAAGGCATTCTTGAAAGGGTAAAACTACAGGGATGGAGCACAGATCAGTGGTGTGTGCGGTGGGGGCTGGGGGAGGGGTTGGCCACAAAAGAACATGAGGCCCTTTTGGGGAAGATGACAGACTCTGTATCTTCATTCCAGTGGCAGCTACTAGACTATGTACATGGGTCAAAATTCACAGCACCGCATGCTGAAAAGGGCAAATTTCACTGTAGGTAAATTACACCTTAATCAAAATAACCAAGTGCTTTGTATGCTGGTATATGAACAGACTGACCCCGGCAAGACACACAGCCGGAAAGTGGCTACCTCCGGAGGAGACAGAGATTTTTCATTACGTTTTCTTTGGTTCTACCCTAAACACGTGTTATATTCCCTCTTTGAGAAAAAAAGAGACATATTTATAAAACAAACCAGTAAGAATGATCCCAGACAAGTGCAGAGCTTTCAAGTGTGTGCACCGAGGTCCACACGAGACATGAGGAAACCGTAACACAGGGAACTCCAGGAAAAAGGAGTAAAAAATCAGGCGTCTCTGGGTAAACACAACAGAATGAAACTACAACCACACCGCCTCTAGGAACCTCACTGACAAGACAGGACAGCAAAGGATCGCAAAGGAACACGGGACAAATAAATAAAACGGAAGGAGATGGTACAGATGAGAGATGGCCCCAAAATGAAAAGCTAACAGAAACTAGACAAGTGGTAACTGAGCAAGCAGAGAAAACGTAAACTCTGAATGGTGGTTCCAGAACATGCCCATAAAGTCTTTGACATTCAAGAGGTGAAGGCTGGACTTCGTGAGTCACTTCTAATGAAGAGAATGAAGTGAAAGTGGTAATGTGCGTCTTCAGAGACTGGGTCAAAGGCGCCACTGCCTCCTCTCTGCTGTCTCTTGGACGGCTCGTTTTGGGGGAAGCGGACACCATGTTGCGAGGGCATTCAGGCAGCACTTTGGAGAGGCCCAGGGGACAAGGAATGAAAGCCTTTCACCCACAGCTGACAGCCATGTGAGTGAGGCATCCTGGAAACACTTTTTAAAAATAATTTTTTTAGGGGCACCTGGGTGTCTCAGTCAGTTAAGCATCGACTTTGGCTCAGGTCATGATCTCACAGTCTGTGAGTTCAAGCCTCGCGTCAGGCTCTGTGCTGACAGCTCAGAGCCTGGAGCCTGCTTCAGATTCTGTGTCTCCCTCTCTCTCTGTCCTTCTCCCACTCGCTCTCTTTCTCTCAAAATAAAATTAAATAAATAAATAAATAAATAACATAAAAATAATTTTTTAACATTTATTTCTGAAAGAGAGACAGAGCGTGAGCAGGGGAGGGACAGAGAGAAAGGGAGACACAGAATCCGAAGCAGGCTCTAAGCTGTCAGCACAGAGCCCAATGTGGGGCTTGAACTCACAAACCATGAGATCGTGACCTGAGCCGAAGCCAGATGCCTAACCAAATGAGCCACTCAGGCACTCCCAGAAACAGATTTTCTAAGCTCAGTCAAGCCCTCGGATGACCAGAGCTACTGCCAACATCTTGACTACAACCTCACGACAGCCTAAGCCAGAACCACCCAGCTAAAACATTCCTGGATGTCCAACCCTCAGAAACTGAGAGATAATAAATTTAAGCTGCTAGGTTTACAGTGATTTTTTTTTAACTCATCAATAAACACTAATATAACATTCTTTATGGCAAGAGGTTAAACAGAAGCTGACAATGAACAAATGTTGTTCCAGGGAACCCCAGAAAGGTTTAGAACAACAGACCAATGGGACAGAATTAAAGAATCCCATTGTTGTATATACAACAAATGTCCTCACAATACCTTGTACGTAATGTTCACTGAAATATAATTCACAATAGCCAAGAAGTGGAACCAACCCAAATATTCATCAACTGATGAGTGGATAAATAAAATGGTTAAGTAAAATGTATATCCATACAACAGGATATGATTCAGCCATAAAAAGGAACTGACATAAAAAGTACTGACAGCTGCTACAACATGGATGAACCTTGAAAACATGATGCTAAGCAAAAGAAGTTAGTCACAAAATATCACATCCTCTATCATCCCATTTATATGAAATGTCCAGAATAAGCAGATCCATAGAGACAAAAAGTGGATGAGTGGTTTAGGGGTTGGTGGGTGGGGGGATGGGGAGTGAGTGCTATTGGGTATGGAGTTTCTTTCCAAGGTAATGAAAACATTCTGAAACTGATTGTGGTAATGGATGCACAGCTCTGTGAATATACTGAAAACCACTGAGCTATGCACTTTGGTATGTGAATTACATCTCAAAACTTCTAAAAAATATACTAATAAAAGACAAATTCCAGATGGATTAAAGAAAAACTTAAAAGGGGCGCCTCGGTGGCTTAGTCGGTTAAGTGTCCGACTTTCGCTTAGGTCATGATCTCGCGGTTCGTGGGTTCGAGCCCCGCGTCAGGCTCTGTGCTGACTGCCAGCTCAGAGCCTGGAGCCTGTTTCAGTCTGTGACTCCCTCTCTCTCTGACCCTCCCCTGCTCACGCTGTCTCTCTCTCTCTCTCTCTCCTAGAAATAAATAAAACATTAAAAAAAAAAAAGAAAAGAAAACTTAAAAAATTGATTAGAAGTATTAGAGGAACTTTAAGCAGACACAAAATGCTAAAGCCATAAAGCAACAACAACTGATGAATTTGGCAAAATTAAAATTTTAAACTTCCATACAAGCACAGACTTAATGAAGGTGTCAGTGCAGACATGAAGGCCTGACCTCTGGCTGGGGCAGAGGCACCAGCCGACTGGGTTTCACCCAATGCCTGCCTCCTGGCTAGTTACACGCGGATGAGCAGCACAGCCAACCACCTGAGTGGGGACAGGACAAACCAAGAACTGCTGGTTAAACTGAAGATTTCATATGGGAACTAAAAACTTTAGTAGATAACAGAATTCTGTGGACTTTGGAGCCCCCACATTTCTCGTGGAAAGTATAGATCTTTGCAAGGTAACTTCAGTTGAAGTTACATTACTGAGACATGAGAGGAGATGATCAGGTGGAAATGCTATTTAAATGCGTACTAACACCAGACTGGAAGACTGCAGCCATTCTGCAGTCCCAGCACCTATTATATTTGCAAGGCCTGGAATTGTTCAACTGCACATGAATCAAGTGCTAACGTACTACTGGATGAATAGTGCTTTGTCACTGTGTATTGCCCCATATTTCTTTCTTCTAAGATTTTATTTTTAAACAATCTCTACACCCAACATGGGGCTCAAACTCACAACCCCTGAGAATCAAGAGTGTCACACGCTCTAATGACTGAGTCAGCGAGGCACCCCACCCCTTATTTCTTTAAATTCTCAGGTGTATGGGGTGCCGGGGTGGCTCAGTCAGTTAAGCGTCTGACTCTTGATTTCAGTTCAGGTCATGATCTCACAGTTGTGAGATCGAGCCCCATATCGGGCTCAGCAATGGGTATGGAGCCTGCTTGAGATTCCCTCTCTCCTTCTCCCTCTGACCCTCCCCTGCTATCACACGCATGTGCGTGTGCTCTCTCTTAAAATATAAGAAAAAAAGAAATTCCCAAGTATGGTTTTGGCAGGGAATATGCTGTAATATTAATAAATTTAACAAAATGGATACGTAAGTAAATTTAAAAAACATTTCCAATTAATCAAAACCACTATAAACTAAGTTAAAAGACAAGAAGCTAACCAGGAAAACCTATGCAATGTGAAAACAGGCAAAGGCTTAATATCTAGAAATGTTAAAAAAAATTCCTAAATCATTTTTTTAAAGGACAAATACCCCATCGAGAAAAAAATATAAACACACAATCCACAGAAATAAAAATATGAACATTAATACACTTAAAAAGATAAAGACACTCAACCTCACTGCTATCAGGAAATAACAAATTAAAATAAGATGCCACTTTAGCAATAACATTAAAAGTAATGCAGAGTACTGTTGATGATGTGATGCACTCATGCACTGCTGGTCGGGATACAAATTAGTAAAACTTTTTCAGATTACCTATTATAACTGTGTATAATACACCGAGAGCCCGTAACTCTACTTTCTGGTATCTATGTCAGGAAGTAGCATATGGGGGCGCCTGAGTGGCTCAGTTGGTTAAGCATCTGACTTCGGCTCAGGTCATGATCTCACAGTTCGTGGGTTTGAGGCCCGCATTGGGCTCTGTGTTGAACATTTGCTCAGAGCCTGGAGCCTGCTTCCAATTCTGTGTCTCCTTCTCTCTCTGCCCTTCCTCCACTCATGCTCTGTTTCTCCCTGTCTCTCAAAAATAAATAAAATGTAAAAAAAGAAAAAAGAAAGAAAAAAGAAATAGCACATGAACAAGAACATATGACCGTTCATACCTGTAAAAAACCACTAATAACCCAAATGTCCACTGGTAAGGCAGGGGATGGACAAACTGGGGTCCACTCACACAATAGGGTGCTATGCAACAGCGTAAAAGAGCAAGATAGGTGGAAATGAAAAGACCTCCAGGAAACACTGCTGAATGAAAGCAGGGATGGGGGGGGTTGCGACTGGGTGGCTCAGTCAGTTAAGCGTCCGACTTCGGCTCAGGTCATGATCTTACGGTTTGTGGGTTCGAGCCCCGCATCAGTCTGTGCTGACAGCTAGCTCAGAGCCTGGAGCCTGTCTTCAGATTCTGTGTTTCCCTCTCTCTCTGACTCTCCCCTGCTCATGCTGTCTCTCTCTCTCAAAAATAAATAAAACATTATTAAAAAAAAAAAAAAAGGAAGGAGGGAGGGTTATTTAGATAGGGTGGCTGCAAAGGCCTTAGACAGGCATCATCTGTACAAGATGAGGGATGGGCCTAAGGGAGAAAAAAACATTCCAGCAAGTGCAAAGGCCCTGGGACTGAGCAACATCTCTCTGAAGGCAGCAAAGACCCTCGCAGCGATTCCTGGCCCTGGCAACTCCAGGGTTGCCGACCAGATCTGACTCCCGACTCACCCCCTCACTGTGCTGCACCACACTGCCAATGTTATGCAGAGACTGGAAGTTCTGGGTGTTCACGGAGCCAAACTCCACAATCTCATCATCCACTTGCAGACCCTAGACAGAGAAGAGAAAATAGAAAACGAGGGTGGAGATTAAATGTGCTGCTGGCTTTCTTTACCCTTCCACATCCAATTTTAACGTCCATGCCACGAGCTTGTTTTCTACAGGGGAGGACGCCGGGCACAAAGCAAGGAGGTCAGGGTTTCGCTGCCGCACACAGGAGGGTGGTGGATAAGTGGGCCGCTTACTCCTGCAGCTCCTTCTGGGACAGATCTAGTAAAAGGGGCCCAGATCTGCCCAATGTCTAATAAAAGCCAGGGTTGTACAGGCCTTAAAGAAGGAGGGGAAAAACCAAATGCCGCCTTCTGGGGTCCTGACCCAGGTTCAGGGGCAAGAAGAGGCAGAGCAGTCTGAGCCTATTTTGTTCAGGGGTCAGAATTTAGACCAGTTTACGTGAATTTACAGAATTTAGACCTAAAGGTCCCCAGACAATCAGCCACAGACACAGGGCTGACCCAGGGCTAGTGTGACCCTTTCCTTCCAAGAACACAGATCAGGATTCATTCATTCCTTCAACTCCCATCCGTCTCAGGCCAAGCACAGCCTGTGCCTGACGCTGTGGGTAAGGTAGCGAGGGCAACAAAGCTTCTGTGTAATTTACCATCTTGTGATCATTACGGTTGGCAGGCCCCGCCTTCAGGACCCAGCTCCACGGCTGAGGACCTACGTGTCCTGGGCACAAGTTACTTCAGGGCTCAGAGGCCTTTCATTCATGGGGTAAAATGGGGGTAAAGATTACTGTCTATCCTGGAAGGTGGCCGTGGGATTAAATATTAAATACTCATCCACATGAAAACTTGAACATGATATTCAGAGTAGCATTTTTTGTAGTCGCCAAAAAAATGGAAACCAAATGTTAACTGACGAATGGATAGAAACATTGTGATGCAGCCATACAATGAAATATGAGTCAGACATAAAAAGGAAAGGAGGGGCACCTGGGTGCCTCAGTCAGCTAAACGTCCGACTTCACCTCAGGTCATGATCTCACGGTTTGTGGGTTTGAGCCCCACGTTGGGCTTGGTGCTGACAGCTCAGAGCCTGGAGCCTGTTTCGTATTCTGTGTCTCCCTCTCCCTCTGCCCCTCCCTGCTCACACTCTCTCTTTCTCTCAAAAACAAACATAAAAATTTTTTTAATAAGGGGCGCCTGGGTGGCTTAGTCGGTTAAGCGTCCGACTTTCGCTTGGGTCATGATCTCGTGGTTCGTGGGTTTGGGCCCCGCGTCGGGCTCTGTGCTGACTGCCAGCTCGGAGCCTGGAGCCTGTTTCAGTCTGTGACTCCCTCTCTCTCTGACCCTCCCCTGCTCACGCTGTCTCTCTCTCTCCTAGAAATAAATAAAAATAAAAAATAAAAAATAAATTTTTAATAAGTAAATTAAAGAAGGAAAGAAATAGGGATACATGTTCCATCAGGGATGAACCTTGAAAACATACTAAGCAGACGAAGCCAGTCATAAAGCATTATACATTATATAATTCCATTTACATAAAGTATTCAAAATAGGCAAATTGATAGAGACAGAAAGCAGACTCGTGGTTGCAAGGGGCTAGGAGAGATGGGTTTGGGGGGTACAGGGTTTCTTTTCAGAATAATGAAAATATTCTAAAATTGATTGCAGTGATGGATACATGGTTCTGTGAATACACTAAAAGCCATGGAATTGCATACTTTTTTTTTAAGTTTATTTATGTTTTTTTAACGTGTTTTTTTTTTTTCTGAGAGAGAGAGCGTGAGCAGGGGAGGGTCAGAGAGAGAGGGAGAGGGAGACACAGAATCTGAAAAGGCTCCAGGCTCTGAGCTAGCTGTCAGCACAAAGCCCGACACGGGGCTCGAACCCAGAAACCATGAGATCATGACCTGAGCGAAGCTGGACGCTCAACCAACTGAGCAACCCAGACACCTCTAAGTTTATTTATTTTTGAGAGAGAGTACAAGTGGAGGAGGGGCAGGGAGAGGGGAAGACACAGAATCTGAAGCAGGATCCAGGCTCTGAACTGTCAGCACAGAGCCCGATGTGGGCTCAAACTCACAAACTGCAAGATCGTGAGCTAAGCCGAGGACAGACGTTTAACCGACTAAGCCACCCAGGCGCCCTGAGGAATCATATACTTTAAGTGGGTACATTTTATGCTGTGTAAATTGTATCTCCGTAAAGCTGTTTAAAACTTTTAAAAATACACCAGGTAAGATCTGTGACTCATTCGGCAGGACAGCCGGTGCCAAGTAAGCATTCAGTAAATGCCAGCTACTACTGTCATTCGTGTCTGTTACTCAGAGCCCAGGTAAAATAAGCCCAACAAGAGATCCTCTTTCCTGCTCTTGGAATATTTATCACCTTCTACATTGTGTCCCAGGCCTTTCCATGATCAGTTTAGTGGGCAGCTGGGACTGACATACTCCTCTCTGAAACCCTGACCCCAGCCCAGGGCTGGGCCCCCAGGGCTTGGCCAGCGCTTGCTGCCTAAATGGGTCAAGTGAAGCTGCAGCATGGAGAGACGGCGGGTCTGTGTGTCCACAGCCCCACCCCAGGCGACCCGACCCACGGCGCTCTGCGGGTACGGGTCTCAGTGGCCCACACCGCCTGAACCCCCAGCCCAGGCTACCCGACCCACGGCACTCTGCGGATACGGGTCTTGGTGGCGGGTTCTGGCTTACCGCGATACTGGCGGGGGAGCCAGGGCTGATACTGTTCACCTTGGCGAAGGCCCGAGGCAGGCGGAGGCCCTCGCTCTGGCCCAGGCTGCGGCTCGTGGCCTCTTCGTGGGCCTCAGCCATGTCCCGGGCCTGCTTCTCCTTGTCTCGAGCGTGCAGCTGGTGCAAGGCCTCTTCCACCTGCTTCATGACCGCCTTGTGATCGTTCTGCAGGCCTGGGAGGGGAGTGCCGCATCAGGGGACAAGGAAGACAGCGGAGACCACGAGACTCCCACAGTCACTCACTGGAATAAGCACTTCCCACAGGCCAGACACTGGACTAGGGGCTGCAGACAAGCGTGTGGCCAAGACAGGGGACTGCCCTCACAGGACTCAGTCCGGCAAGGGAACAGCCACGGAACAAGTAATTACAGTAACATCTGGTGATCGTGATGAGGGCTGGCCAGCCAGGACCTGACCTTGCTAGTCTAGGAGATGAGAGGAGATTTCCCAAAGGCAGCGCCGTTTCAACTGAGGTTTACAAGGTGAGCAGAGGAATCGTCCCTCTTTACTTTTCACCGAATTCCTCCAGGAGAAACAACGATGCCTAAGTCTACTAATACATGGCCAGTGATGCTGGGTCTCGGAGACATTAACAGGACAAAAGCTGGAAATTAGGAACCTCTGATTTTTTTCAGTACTGATGGCTAACTCAAACTGTTGCAGACTGGGGTGCCTGGCCAGCCTGGTCAGAAGAGCATGTGACTCTTGATCTGTGGGGTTGTGAATTCGAGCCCCACGTTGGGTGCAGAGATTACTTTAAAAAAAAAAAATGTTGTGGACCAGGATGCCAGTGAGTAAGTCACCGCGGCAGGCCAGTGCAGCACAGTGGTTGACATTTTAATAACTTCCTAAACCTAAAAACAATTTCCTCTATTTCCCTATTCAAGCCAGGTCACTCCCAAGGTTCCCTTTGAGGGGTTTCAGAGGCCGGAGCCGCCGACCAGCACTGCCCGTCAATCCACCCCCAACACTAGTAGGTCACAGACTTTCAGGCTTTCCAGAAGCCCTCGCCTCTGGGCACACGTAGCTACCTGACCTGGTTCCTCTGCCCCTGTCACTTTGGAGGGAAGGTGAGGCCCTCAGGCATCTTGGGACTCTGGTACTCAACCCACGGGGCAGACACAACAAAAGAACCCAGATTTGAATAAATAGAGACATATACCTGGGCGGGAAGACTTAAAATAGTGTCCATGTATAATATACGGTCACTCTCTGACTAGAAAAGACCCCCCAGGCAGTAAACTCCACAAGGACCCCCCCAGAACCTTCGCAGTGCCTGGCACTCGGGAAGTATTCCATATAGATGCCGCTGGGTGATGGAATGCATAACTTCATTTATAATCTATTGCGATTCTAATCAGAATTCCAAAAAAAAGTTATTCTCTTGGACAAAATGTTTCCAAAGCCTAGTTCAAAAAAATAAACTTGCCACTGTAACAAATTCAGGGTACTAATAATAAGATGTTAATAACAGGGAAAGCTGGAGACTGCATGGGACCTCTCTGTCCTATTTTTCCAATCTTTCTGTAAATATAAAACTGTTCTAAAAAATAGAATTCATTTTCAAAAAAAATTTTTTTTAATGGTCATTTAGAGAAAGAGAAAGGGTGAGCATTCATGAGCAGGGGAGGGGCAGGGAGAAGGGGAGAGAGAAAATCCCAAGCAGGCTCCATGCTGTCAGGGCAGAGCCCTACTCGGGACTTTGTCTCACAAACCATGAGATCATGGCCTGAGCCAAAATCAAGAGTCAGACACTTAACCGACTAAGCCATACAGGCCCCCAGAGTCCATTTTTAAAAATATAAGAGGAGCACCTGGCTGGTTCAGTCGGCGGAGCATGTGACTTGATCTCGGGGTTGTGAGTTCAAACCCCATGTTGGGTACAGAGTTTACTTATAAATAAATTTAAGTAAAAAAAATTTTACTTATAAATAAATAAATAGTTTTTCAAAAGGTTGATCAGCATTGCTCAACCAGATTCGTTTTTTTTTTTTAATGTTTATTCATTTTTTTGAGAGACAGAGTATGAGCAGGGGATGGGCAGAGAGAGAGGGAGACACAGAATCTGAAGCAGGCTCCAGGCTCTGAGCTGTCAGCACAGAGCCCGACGCAGGGCTTGAACTCACGAACTGCAAGATCATGACCTGAACCGACATCAGCTACTTAACTGACTGAGACACCCAGGGGCCCCACAACCAGATTCTTAAATATAATAAAATCATTATTATAGACAGTGTGACATGGGGGTGCCTGGCTGGCTCAGTCAGAAGAGCATGTGACTCTTGATCTCAGGGGTCATGAGTTCAAGCCCCAAGTTGGGTGTAGAGATTACTAAAAAAATAAACTTAAAAAAACAGACAGTGTGATATTAGCAAAGAGATATATCAATAGAACAGCGCAAAAAACTCAGAGAGACCTAAATACGTCTAAAAATGTCCTGTGTAATACTGCTAGCATTTCAAATGAATGGAGAAAGAATAGGGTGTTTAATAAATGGTGTTGGAACATCTAGGTAACCACCCGGACAAAACTAAGTCAGCGCCCTCTTCTCTTACACCATAGGCTCCGCTTCTCAAATTTCCCCCAGAATCCTAACTGCTGAGGAAAGCAGGCCACTTCCTTGGGGAGTCTAAGGGTTTAGCCAAAAGTCCCAAATTTCCCTCAGTCTGATTGTCTTAACATGACCTTTCCCTACCCTGCATCTTCCATTTGCATCTTCCAATACAAAGACGGCATGCTTCCTTCCCCTAAACCTTCGAGGAAAAGCGACACTCTAAGAAGCTGTTCTGGGGGCACCTGGGTGGCTCAGTTGGTTGGGCGGCCGACTTCAGCTCAGGTCATGATCTCACGGTTCGTGGGTTCGAGCCCCGCATCGGGTTCTGTGCTGACAGCTCAGAGCCTGGAGCCTATTTCAGATTCTGTGTCTTCCTCTCTCTCTGACCCTCCCCTGCTCACACTGTCCCTCTCTCTCTCTCTCTCTCAGAAATAAATAAAATCATTAAAAAAAATTTAAGAAGCTGTTCTGGGATCACACTGCAGCTTTGAGGAATGGTGGGCAGCCCGAGCGGTATCTCCTGCAGTTACTCACGGCCCCAGTGAGCAGCTCAGCCTTGTACCACAACGTGCTGAGGATGGAGCTGAGATTCACACACGTAAACCGGAGGTCACTGAGTGAAAAATGTGCATGACAAATTCCCCTCTAAATGACTTTGTGGCAGAGGCTGCTGGTTGCCCACCTTTGGCAGGATGAATAATGGGCCCCCTCGTCCTTGTCCCCAGAAGCTGCCCAATATGCTACTTTCCATGGCAAAGGGGGCTTTACAGATGTGGTGAAGTTCAGGACACTGAATGGGGAGATCATCCTGGATTACCCAGATGGGGGGCCCAGTGTGACCACAAGGGTCTTCGTTAGTGAAAGAGGGAGGCAGACAGTACAGACAGAAGTGGGGCGGTGGGACCAGAGGCTGGGAGATGACCTTGCTGGCTTTGCCCATGGAAGGGGCTACAAGCCACGGGACATGGGCACCTGCAGAAGCTGGGAACGATAAGGAAATGGGCTCTTCGCTAGAGCCTCCAGAAGGAACACAGCCCTGCCGACGCCTCCATCTTAGCCCAGTGACACCCATTTGGGCACCTTCTTATTGTAAGACAGTAAATCTGTGCCATATGAAGCCATTAAGTCTGTGAGAATTTGTTCCAGCAGAAAACAGAAAACTGATACACCACCCAAACTCTACTCTCCACCTATTCCTCAACTATGAACAAATAAATGATTTTATTTAGGATTGTGACATGCCCATATGGGGTACATCCCCCAACATGGCTCGCAGGCAGAGGGGCCTACGAGGGAAAAGCAGAAATCAGTGCTGCAAGGTAGGAGTGGGACCCACAGGACGGATCTTTAAAGGGAAGGCGCGAGCTGGCTAAGGACCTTTGGCCCTTCTTACTCTCCTCCTTCCCTTCCTTCCTGCGTGGCACACGGACACAGTGACCCTAATGCTAGACATGTCCTAAGGATGGCAGAGCCCGGGATGGGACGGCCAGCCCTGCACTGCCGACCTCCAAACGTCCGCACTGAGGGACTGAGCACTTCTGTGTGAGTGACCGCACTCAGGTCCCTACGCTTACCAGCTCATACATAACTGCTCTGATTAGGACTGGAAGCGATATTTGACTTGGGCTTCTATTACCATTTCAAAAACGTTTCCACAGCGAAGCAAAGTCCTTAAAAACAAAATAAAAAACGACACCATAAATTTAGAACCCTAGAGGCCACACTAGAGGCCAGAACTCCATTCTGAGTCCCTCGATGGGGGAAGGGTAAGATGACCGCATCAAGGCAGAAGAGAGGGAAGCAGGTACTGCGGAACAGGGACATTTCACTTGTGTGCCTTCGGCCTCGGGAACGGCCGCACGCGCCACTCACAGACGATGTTGTGCCTTGCAGTTCGGACTTGGTACAGGTCCACATCTGAGCGGGGGTACCCCTCGCAGTCCACCAGCGGCTCGCTCATCCCAATGCCTTTTTGCTGGAGGGGAGAAACACGGTTAAGACTTCACGAGTACAAAGTCCTCCAGACCTCATTCCCTGTGCAGCCATCATAAAGGCGAGAGTAATGAAAGCTGCCACATGCTGAGCACTTAGCACAGGCCGAGTACTTCCCCACACACTCCCTCAACCACCCTCAGAGCAAGGGGGGGCAGGGGGGCACTATATTTTTATTGATTTTTTTAATAACACAAGTAATGCAGGAATTCAGTTTCCTCTTCTGAAGTTAGAACAGTGCAGATAAAAGTAAAGACTTTTGAGCCTCATCCCCAAGGCCAGCCTCTTGGACCCCTCCAAACGCTCCTTCATGTGGCAGCTGATGCCTGGTTGGTGGCCTTGGAAGCTGGAGGGGAGTGAAAACCCCAAAGGGCATCCAGCTGTGGCAGGACCTTGGTTCTTTCTGAAAGTAAAAAGAGATCTAAAAGGGATTTCAAAGGGTTTTTCATCCCTAGAAGGACACACTGATATCAAGTGCCTCTGGGGAAAAGGAACTGGGTGGCTGGGGGGCAGGGAGGGAAGAGACTTTTCATTTCATACCCTTTTGTAGACTCTGAATTTTGACCATGGACGTGTATTCCCTATTTAAAACAATACATTTTAACATTTTAAAGACTTTTCCTGCGTAAGTCAGAGCACAGTGCACAAAGGTAATGAAACGTGTCATATGATGGGGGTAGAGATTTTGCAGTCAGACTTTGATTTGAATCTCAGTTCTGCTGCGTACAATCTGGGTGCCCTTGGTTAGGACCCTCTCCATGCTTCAGCCTCCTCAATTATAAAATGGGAAGAGTGGCATTCACCTCCCATCCTACTTGCTGTGAAAATTAATGAGCTGACCTGTGTAAAGTGCTTAGCACAGTGCTAGGCACATCCACAGTGGGATGAATAGTGGCCCCGAAAAGATACGCCCCAAGTCCTAAACCTCCAGACCCATATATGTGACCTTATTTGGAAAAAGGATCTTTGGAGACGTAATTAAGGCTCTTGAGATGAGACTGTCTTAGATTTAGGGTGGGCTCCAAATCCAATGACAGGTATCCCTGTAGAAAAGGGAGGGAGATCCTTGACACAGAGAAGATCCCATGACCAGGGGCAGTGGAGTTATCTAACCACAAGCCAGGGATGGCCAGCAGCCACCAGGTACTAGGACAGGGACACGGAATAGATCCTCCCTCCGAGCTCCCAGAAGAAACCAACTCTGCCGACATCTTCATTTCAGACTTCTGGCCTCCACAACTGTGAGAGAATAAATGTCTGTCATTTTAAGTCACCCTGTTTGCGGTAATTTGTCATGGCAGCCCCAGGAAATTAATACACATGAAAGTAACAAGTCACGGCTGTAATTACGGCAACAGCAGAAAAGCTGCCCAGGGTACATATGTACCAGGACGGGAGATTCCATTCACTTCTCTCCCTTTCTTTCTGGAAGCCACTGGGTTACATCTACTGTTTCCTGTTATTAACTGAAATCCATAGTTTACCTAAGCCTTCACTCTTAGAGTCTTACATTCTATGGGTTTGCCCAAATGTATAATGACATGTACCCATCATATAGTACTACACAGGGTATTTTCACCTAAAAATGTCCTAAAAATCCTCTGTCCTCCACCTAGTTACCCCTCCCACGACCCCTATCCCTGGCAACCTTGGCTCTTACTGTCTCCACAATTTTGCCTTTCCAAATTCTGGCTGGAATCCTACAAATGCAGTCTTCTCAGACTGGCTTCTTTCACTTGGTAATATGCAATTAGGGTTCCTCCACATCTTTTCATAGCTTGCTAGCTTCCTTAGTTTTAGCACTGAATGATATTCCACTGTTTAGAGGTACCACCATATGTTTATCTATTCACCTACTTAAAGACTTCTTGGTTGGGATGCCTGGGGGCTCAGTCGGTTAAGTGTCCGCCAGACTCTTCATTTTGGCTCAGGTCACGATCTTGAGGTTGATGGGATCAGCCCTGCTTTGGGCTCTGTGCTGACAGCACGGAGTCTGCTTGGGATTCTCTTTCTTTCTCTATGTTCTCTGCCCCTTCTCCGCTTGTGCTCGCTCGCTCTCTCTCTCAACAGAAATAAATAAACTTAAAAAAAAAAAACACCTTTTGGTTGCTTCAAGTTTTGGCAACCGTGAAAAAAGCTGCTATAAACATCATGAAGGTTTTCGTGTGAACACGTTTTCAGCCCCTTTGGGTAAATACCGTGGAGCACAATTGCTGGATGGTATGGTAAGAGAACATGTAGCTCTGTAAGACACTGCCCTACTTTTGCAACAGCACACCAGCATCTGGAGCTGGAAGTTTCGACACATACCTAGCAGCACCTCACAGGTGTTTTAATTTGCATTTCTCTGATGACCCATGACGTGGAGCCTCTTTCTACATGCTTCTTTGCCATCCATAGACCTTCTTTGGTGAGGGGTTTGTTAAGGTCTTTGGCCAATTTTTTTTTTATCAAGTTATTGCCTTTTTAGTATTGTGTTGGAAGAGTCCTTCGTATGCGGATCCCTTGTTAGGTATCTTCAAATATTTGCTCCCATTTGGCAAACTGCCTTTTCCCTTTCTTGACTGTGTCTTTGGACACACATGTTTTAAATTCTGATAAAGTCCAATTTAACTACTTTTTCTTTTGTTGCTGGTGCTTCTGGCATCACATCTAAGAAGGCTTTGCCTGATCCAAGGTCACAAAAATTTACTCCTATGCTTTATTCTAAGAGATTTATAGCTTTTGCTGTCTCCCCCTTTTTAAAAACAAACATAGAGCAAGGCTTTAGGTTTAAAGCTTTTAGTCAGTGATGGTAGCTAGTGACAAGGAACGAACATATTATATCACCCTGAAATATATTTTTATTTTATATTAAAGGAAAAAAAATCCCATTTTTTCCATACGCTGTCGAGTTATAAAATTTTCACTCAAACTAAATTTATTTATGGGGCGCCTGGTGGCTCAGTTGGTTAAGCATCCAACTTCAGCTAGGGTCATGATCTCATGATTTGTGGGTTCGAGCCCCACGTCCAGCTCTGTGCTGCCAGCTCCGAGCCTGGAGCCTGTTTCAGATTTTGTGTCTTCCTCTCTCTCTGCTCCTCCCCTGCTCATGGTCGTTCTCTCCCTCTCTCTCTCAAAAACAAACAAAAAATAATTTTTTAACTTTATTTAAGTGAAAAAGTGCATCAACTTAAAGAAAAATACCAGGGGAACAACAGTACAGGAGGTAAATGGATACCGCAACTTGGTTGACACAGAAAGTAACTAAAGTTTGGGAAATTGTTAGCATAATGCTTGAAAACACAAGCTCTGTATTCAACAGGCCTGAGATCTGAATTTCATTTTGAAACATTAAGCAAGTGACTTTCCCTTTGAGCTTCAGGGTAACATCCTAACTTCACAGGGTGGTTGTGTGGATTTTGTGATATAACATACACATAAACTGACACTCTTCAGGCATATAATCAGCACCAGTAAAATGGTACCCTGGCCTCTGTATGAGGTCTCCATCTTACTCCCATCACCTAACATGCATTCCATCCACCCTACGTAAGATATCTTTAACTTATTTTTCCTCTGCAAATTGATTTGTGGCTTTACACTAAGTGACATAAGAAAAACTATCAGTTTGGTAGCCAGACAGACCAGGGAACTAGACCCACCACTGCCACTTCCCAGCGACACGACCCTAGAGGAGGGTTTGCCTCACCCTGGGCATCGGTTCCCTCCCTATACAATAATGATAAAGAGCCTTGCCTGTCACTCAAAGTTCGATCTTTAGACCAGGAGCATCAGCATCGCTGATGCTAGAAACACAGCTAGAAATTTGCTAGAAACACAGCACCTGCGCTCCCCGAGCTCATCAGAAACTGAAATTTTAACAAAATCCCCGGTGCTTGCCAAACCCATGGAAGCTTAAGAAGCTCTGACGTGAGCGGGTCAGCAAAGCACAGAGCCTCTGGTACACATTCAACAGGGACTGACGATGGCGGTGACAATCACCCTGCCTCTGCACTTTTATTAGTTCTGTTATCTGAGGCACATTTAAAATGTCATCGCTAAAACGGGGAAAATAAGAGCCTCAAAAGGTTGCTGCGACAGTTAAATGGGCTAAGCAACGTAAAGGAATTAAAACAGCGCCCAGCACACGATAAGGGCTCCATAAACCCACGCTATAGCACCAACACCGATGGTTCTCCATTGCTGATATTATTTGCCTCCTGCCGACAGAGGCCGCAGTTGCCGCGCCTTGGGCTTCCCAGGGAGCAAGAGACACAGCTGAGAGCTCAAGCGCAGGCCGCCGCGGCCTCACAATCCTCCCAGATCCGGGTGCCGTGTCAAGAGGCCCCGGGCTCGCCCCACGCCCGCCAGGGAACCCCGAGCCCACACTCACGCTTTCCAGCACTTCATAATTGGCTTTGATCTGCGCCTCGATCTCCTCCTTGCGCCGTATCAGCTCCTGGATGTCGCTGACATTCACTGCGCCAGCCTGAGAGGACCCTTCGCTCTGCCTACTTTGCTCCTCCGACATCCTGCACCTCCCCGCCGTATCGGGGACACCAGGGTTCCTGGCTTCCTGGCTGCGGACGCCGGAGGAGACTACGGCTACGGCTCCGCCCCCGGGCCAAACTTCCTCGGCCACCAGCAAACGCGAAGATGGATAAAAAGCGTGGTTTGTAGGTGGGCGGGGTCGCCGGAAGCCACACCCTGCTGGAAAAAATCCTCCGGTGACTGACAAGGACCACAATGGAGAGAAATGGATTCCAGGTCCTTCACAAGCAGTGTCACCAGCCACAATAGGATGATCTCTTTCTAGGTGACTCATTTGCTTTCCACATTCATTCAACAGACATCTATTGAGCGCCTACCACGTGTTTGTGCGAGAGCACTGTACAAGGCTGACTCTGTGCAGTCAGCTCTTCATATCTACCCAGCCCTGAGCTTTTGCAAAACACCTTCAAACCTTACCCCCGATTTTTTAAAAGATTTTATTTTTGGGGTGCCCAGGAGGCTCAGTCGGTTTAGCGTCTGACTCTTTTTTTTTTTTAATGTTGTTTTTATTTATTTCGGAGAGAGAGCTTGCGCGTAAGCAGGGGAGGGTCAGAGAGAGGGAGACACAGAATCTGAAAAAGGCTCCAGGCTCTGAGCTGGCAGTCAGCACAGAGCCCGACGCGGGGCTCGGACCCACGAACCGTGAGATCATGACCTGAGCCAAACTCGGACGCTTAACCGACTGAACCACCCAGGCGCCCCAGTTTAGCGTCTGACTCTTGATTTTGGTTCAGAACATGATCTCACTGAGTTGGAGCCCCATATGGGGCTCTGCAATGACAGCATGCAACCTGCTTGGGATTCTCTCCCTCTCTACCCCTCTCCCGCTCGCGCACATGCTCCTTCTCTCTCAAAATAAACTTCAAAAAAAAAAAAAAAAGCGGGGGGGCGGGGAACTTTATTTTTAAGTAATCTCTTTACCCAATGTGGGGCTCGAACTCACCACCCTGAGATCAAGATTTGCACACTCCACCAGCTGAGCTCGCCAAGTGCCCCACCTTATCCCGCATTTTACAAACCCTACAAGCTTAGGTTCATATCTGGTTCTTGCCACTTAGTGTAATGTGCATGACCTTAGGTAAATTACTTCACTGCTCTGAGTCTGTTTCCTCATCTCTAGAATAGTTGAATATTGATAGCAATATATCTCAAAGAGCTGTCATTTTGCCAACAAATATTTATTAAATGTCATCCGTATGTCATGCACTGTTCCAGAAGCTGGAAAGGTAAAGAATTGAGTTACAACTCAGTGCCTCTCACATGTTAAGGCCTCTATTGGGGCTCCTAGGTGGCTCAGTCAGTTGAGTGTCTGACTTTGACTCATCATGATCTCACAGCTCGTGAGTTCGAGCCTGTGTCTGACTCTGTGCTAACAGCTCAGAGCCTGAACCCTGCTCCTGATTCTGTCTCCCTGTCTCTGCCCCTACCCCATTCGTGCTCTGTCCCTCAAAAATAAATAAACATGGGGTGCCTGGGTGGCTCAGTCGGTTAAGCATCCGACTTCGGCTTAGGTCACGAGCTCACGGTTCGTGGGTTCGAGCCCCACGTCAGGCTCTGTGCTGACAGCTAGCTCAGAACCTGGAGCCTGTTTCCATTCTGTATCTTCCTCTCTCTCTGACCCTCCCCTGCTTATGCTCTCTCTCTCTCTCTCTCTCTCAGAAATAAATAAAACATTAAAAATTTTAAAAATAAATAATCATTTTTAAAAAGGCCTCAATAAATGTTGGTGAAAAGAGCGATGATAATAATAATTTATCAAATACTTACAATGTGCCAGACGTTGTTCTAAGTGCCTTACATGTATCAATTCAACACCCAAGGTTGTTATTGTCCTCATTTGACAACTGAGAAAACCCTTTCAATAACCAACTTGCCTAAACAGCAGAATAAACTTCCAAATTTTCAACCTGGTGTAACCAAATGATAAAAGTTAACATCTAAACATGTGCCCCCTAATATTTTGCACTGAAGATGACACACCATCACCAATGTAGCATTCAAATGTTTTTCCATGTAAATAAACACAAATACAAATTAAAGAACGTTCTTCAAAACAACTGGCCTGAACTCTTCAAAAAAGATCAGTGTTGTGAAATACACATACACAAGCTAGGCAATCTTGGAGCTTAAACAGACAGAACAATGAAATTCAATGTGTGATCCTGGATTGGATCCCAGTTCCCTTAATAAAAATAAATAAATAAATAAAGGACATTCTTGAAACAATTGGGTAAACTTAAATATGGGTACTGTAGTATCAACGTGAAATTTCCTGATTTTGATACTAGTGCTGTGGTTATATACGACAACGTCCTTAGAAAAATGCACCCTGTGGTATATTGGGGCAAGAGAGGCAACTTACTTTCAAATTGTTCAGAAAGGAAGTACAAATATATACTTGTAGACAAGAGAATGATAAGGTAAATGTGATAAAGTAAATAATTGGTGATGCCGAGTAAAATACTTACTAACACTCTTCTTACCATCTTTGCAACGTTTCTGTCAGTTTGAAATTCTTTCAAAATAAAAAGGTATTTTTTAATCTCTATAGAGAAAAAAGAATTGATTACATTTGGAATCCTTTATTTTGTTCAATTATCTTCTTTAAATAAACTAACATTTCTAACACTGTCCCCTCCCATGAAAAAAAAAAAAAAAGAAAGAAAAGAGAAGGAAGAAAAGAGAGACATGATAATCACGTACAACGCACAATCCCCAACTGAATATGAGATTTTTTTTTTAATAATACGCAGCAACTTTAAAAGACATTATTGGGGAAATTGTTGAGATTTTTCATATGAGCTTTATATTAGATTATAGTATTGCATCAATGTTACATTTCTTTGGTAAAATACTGGTGTTCTAGGGGCACCTAGATACACACACTCAATAGTTAAGCCTCCGACTTGGACTCAGGTCATGATCTCCCAACTGGTGAATTCGAGCCCTACATTGGGCTCTGTGGTAACAGCTCAGAGCCTGGAGCCTGCTTTGGATTCTGTGTCTCCCTCTCTCTCTCTCTGCCTTTCCCCCGCTGGTGCTCTGTCTCTGTCTCTCTCAAAAAATGAATACACATTTTTAAAAATTTTCTTAACTTTTTTACATTTATTTATTTTTGAGAGACAGAGACAGAGCACCAGTGGGGGAGGGGCAGAGAGAGAATGAGACACAGAATCCAAAGCAGGCTCCAGGCTCTAAGCTGTCAGCACAGAGCCTTGATGCGGGGCTCGAACTCACAAACCGAGATCATGACCTGAGCTGAAGCTGGGCGCTTAACCGACTGAGCCACCCAGGAGCCCCCCAAAAATTTTTAAAGGGGTGCCTGGGTGACTCAATCGGTTAAGCGCATCTGACTTGGGCTCCAGGCATGATCTCGCAGTCTGTGAGTTTGAGCCCAGTGTTGGTCCCTGTGCTGACAGCTCAGAGCCTGGAGCCTGATTCGGATTCTGTCTGTCTGTCTCTCAAAATAAACATTAAAATTTTTAGAAATTTTTTAAAGATGGGGCGCCTGGGTGGCTTAGTCGGTTAAGCGTCCAACTTTCGTTTAGGTCATGATCTCGCGGTTCGTGGGTTCGAGCCCCGCGTCGGGCTCTGTGCTGACTGCCAGCTCAGAGCCTGGATCCTGTTTCAGTCTGTGACTCCCTCTCTGACCCTCCCCTGCTCTCGCTGTCTCTCTCTCTCTCCTAGAAATAAATAAAATATTAAAAATTTTTTTAAAAAAAGAAATTTTTAAAAGATACTGTTCTAATTATATAAGAGAATTCTCTTATTCAAGGAGGTGAATGCTGAACTATTTAGAGGTATAGTATCATAATTTCTGCAACTAACTTGCAAGTGGTTTAGAAAAAAGCTGTACATAAACACACCTAAATATAAAGGCAGTAGGGAGGAGGTTGGGGGATAGAGAGGGGGAGAGATAGACTGAGGGAAAGCCAAAATGTAACAACAGGTAAGTGAAGGATTTGTGGATGTTGGCAGAAACTCTTTTTCCCAGTCAAAAGGGGAGAGTGAAGATTACTCTTGTGCTGCCTGTGTGGGAAGATCTCCACTCATCTGAAACCAGAGCTATTTTTTTTTAAACCGGAGCTATTGTTTAAGTCACTATATGATGTTATTGTCCATATTATTATTATTTTTTAATGTTTGTTTATATCTGAAGGAAAGAAATACAGAGTATGGGTGGGAAGCGGCAGAAAGAGGGAGACAGAATCCAAAGCAGGATCCAGGCTCTGAGGTGTCAGTACACAGCCCAAGCTGGGGCTCGAACTCACAAACTGTGAGGTCATGATCTGAGCCAAAGTCAGATGCCCAACCGACTAAGCCACCCAGGAGCTCCCATATTATCATTATTATAAGCCTAGATCCAGTACCCTCTACTGCCTTCATAGCTCTCAAACCCAGCCATTACCTCCTCTTCCACCCTCATCCCAATACCTCAATCTCTTTCTGGATCGCAGCAGCCTCTGACCAAGTCTCAGCTTCTCGGTTGTCGCTTCCATCCATTCTCCACATTAACAGCCAGAATAACTTACCCAAAGAACAACACCATCACTCTGCTGCTTAAAAGCTTTCGATGGCTTTCCAGTGCTCTTCTCTTGGCTTTCATGACCCTTCTAATCCCTTCTTGCCTCTGGACACACACACGCGCACGCGCGCACACACACACACACACACGCCAGCACATACACAACTTATTTTCCAGCCACACTGAACTTCTAGCAGTTTCTGGCATACTGATTGCTCAGTCTGTCTTAGCGCTGGATCTTAGCACCCTCCTCTTGAACACCATCTCAGGGGCCAGGATGATTCCAGCTCCTCTTTCAAGATCCAGCTCAAATATTACTTCTCCTGGAAATCCTTCTGTGACCTTCCCCAAAGCTAGGGGTGATTTTTACTCTATTTTCCACCTGGTATTATAAACCCATGTTTACCTGTGTGTCCCATGCATTAAGGATTCTTACAGGATGTGGGCTGAAGCTTGTTTATCTTCAAATGTTTGGAAGTGAGTGTTTAATAGAGGGTGCAAAGGAGACAGGCTGAGGGAATCTACTC